GGATGCAGAAGAAAACATTGGTTCAAATCCATCGTTCCTGTGTTTTAACCATGAGAGAGATAGACAAGCATCTCCAAGTGGCAGCACAGATACTCCTTTGGGTTTTGCCAGCATTAAGGACACCCACCTGCCAAAAACTGAGGTGGACAAGTGCAGCTGTCAGCTCTCCTATGTCAGCTGTTTCCGTGGGCTCCAAAGCGAAGTAGATAATGAGAGCGTTGGTTCTGCACATACCATTTCCTCAGGGCCTTTAACCAGACCACCCTCTGCAGGAAGCCTGTCATCTGTGGGCCAGAACCCTTTCAGGACCACAGAAGACGGTCACGATGCTGACATTAAACCCAAGGGAAGTGAAGATGGGGAGGGTCCGCATTCTCACACTGAAGCTCTGGCTCAGTTGAGAGAGAGCGCACAAAAGTCACCAGCAAAGTTCTCACACTTACTGGACAACACCACAAAGCTCCAAGAGTTGGTTGGGAAGTTCTCAGGAAACAGAATGAGACATCCTCAAGAGAAATGTGCAGAACAGTTTTCTGAAAACAAGAATGCCCTTAGTTTAGCATCTCAAAAGCTGATGTCCCATTGCCAGGAAGTCTTAAAAATGGACCCGCCTTCTGAAGAGCTGCAAGGAGCATTGCAGGAGACTTTCCAAGATCTCCTCCAACTGACAGCTACGTGTTTCCAGTTCACAAACTGTGGGCTATGCACAAAAAGGCACAGAGAGCTGACAGTCAATCTGAAGGATGTGGTCTGCAGCTATCAGGAATTTGTTCATGCTGCACAACAGCTGGGTGAAAAAAACTGCCATGATTTAAGTGCGAAGCTGCTGGCACACCAGTGCACAGCCCTCACAGCAGCTGTGTTCTGCCTCATGCAGCACTTTAGGGCACTGCTATTAGTGTGAAGATGGCAGCTCCATTATACTGACTCTGTTACGCTCGCATATGTTTCACCTAACAAATGTTTACTCTTTAACCCATTACCACAATAAAAATCTTAAGCCTAAAAGCCAGATGAGTCAAGTCATTCAGAGGTTCGGTCTCACATTTTAATGAATGAGCCCATACAAGACTCAAATACATTTACTAGCTTGTCAGTCTGTATAACCCAGCCCATCAGGAGGTACACAGACAACCCACCCACTCAGTTCTTTTTAATTCTGTATTTAAAAAAATAATGATCTTGATTACAGAAGCTATTGAGTGGCTTACTAGCTTGGCCTCAGCTCTCTTGCCTGGGATCTGGTTCCCTTATATCTTGAAGTCTTTTCCTGCCTTATCTAAATCACTTTTATTTGAGATCTTGTAAAAAGACATGAAACCTAGCAGAGTTTTCAGCATACTGAGCAGATCTGGAGTCCCCACTCCTTAATGGGGGGAGGGGAAGATGCAGGAGTAGCAGTGGAAACAAATTTCCACATGCTTTCTCTAAGGGCTTCCAGTGCTAGGGAGGTTCTCCTGAGGATGAGGGTGCAAAGCTTTGGTCCTTGCCATCTTAACAGGCCCTCTGGATGGCACTGCAGTGCCAGCTAATTCATTCCAGGGGAATCTTGTCCCCAGGCCTTCACTGTTCCTCTATGAAGGAAGTCAGTAATGAAACTTCACCTACCCATGTAAGTGTGGTATTGAAAATGGCCAGTAAAAATAAAAAAGGAGTCTTCAAGGGGGTTGTACTGCTGCTTTTACCCCAACTGATGAGAAGAGAGGACTTAGTGTGACTGTTAGTGCACCCAAAAGAGATGCAAAACTATTCCTCAGTCTGTTCCAATAGCTCCAATTCCCTAACAGGTTTACTGTAGACGCAACAGACTTGCCCTTAAGGGTGCCTTTCATCTCTACCTCATCAGTTGACAAATGCACCCTTGCAGCATCCCCATGAGATAAGGGATCACTTTCTCAGTCTACAGTGAAGACAACCAGGGAATAGGAAAGGCTGACACATGCAGAAGTAACTTTACGGGCCTTGGTTTTTACAGGTCTTTGGCAGCTGCAGTTGTCATCATTATCAGCACCTATGAAAATGCCCCAATAAAGCCCACCGATTTGGATATTCATAGCTGACAAAACAGGGTATAGGCTTCCCCCAGGTCACAGAGGAAGACATGGCTGTGCCCAAGACCAGGGTTGTGTCCATGCAGACATCCCTGCTCCCCTTGATGCCTCACATCAAAGTATGTCATCAGCAGACAAGTTTTGATCTTATGGAGGAGGAAATGAAGGCTTTTATATCGCCTGCTGTCACAGCTCATTAGGCTGGAGTTTATATCATATGGAAGGGGCTGTGTGACAAGCTTAAATCCACATGGCATTGCTTGGGCAATATCTTGAAGTGAACAAACAGTGCCTTCTAGAGGCCAGCCTCCCAGGTCTGAATGACTGGAGAAGCAGCAGGCTAATCCGAGTAGTGGCTTCACATTTATAAATTGGCAGCTTGGCTTTTGCAATCAATGAAACTCCAACTAAAACCCAAAGCAAAGGAGGAGCATACAGAACCAGTGGGACACCTATAGTAGGCCTGTGCAAAGTGGCTAGTATTTGCTTTGGATTCAGCTGATTTGGGGGACAGAGATTCAATTCAGTAACTCGAATCACTGTCCTGAATCGATTTGGCCAAATCTGATTTGGAGATTTGGCCAATGCCGAATCTGCCGATTCTCCCCCATCCCCTGCCCACTCTCCAGGCCCCAGATTCTGGCTCTTTAAAAAAAATAATAATAAAAGCCCCCACTCACCAGCTCCTGCCAGGCAGGGGGCAATACCCACTGCCACATGCTGCATGGGAGGCTCTGCCACAAGCCCCCAGAAGCCTCAACAGCTGCTGAAGCAGCCAGTGAGTGCGGGGCTTTTTGCCTGGTCCCAGCTCCCGTCTCTTTTTTTAAAAAAAAGCCTAGCACTCACCAACTGCTGCCAGGTTTTTGGGGGTGGGGGTTGTTTGTTTTTTGGGGGGGGGGCAGCAGGGCAATCCCCGCTGCCCCCATTGGCCCACACTGCATGGGGGGCCGTCACGAGGCCCCATCCCCTGCCCACTCTCCAGGCCCCAGATTCTGGCTCTTTAAAAAAAATAATAATAAAAGCCCCCACTCACCAGCTCCTGCCAGGCAGGGGGCAATACCCACTGCCACATGCTGCATGGGAGGCTCTGCCACAAGCCCCCAGAAGCCTCAACAGCTGCTGAAGCAGCCAGTGAGTGCGGGGCTTTTTGGGGGGGTTTTTTTTTTTTTTTAAAGAGCTGGGACGACGGGCTGGGCTGGGCAGGGCAGCCATAGGGGCAGGAGGGCTGGGAGGTGCACAGGCAGGGAATGGGGCCTGGCAGGGGTCCCCCCCATGGTCCCTTCTCCCCCTCCTCCAGGCCCCCCTTCTCCACCCCTACTTACCAGCATGGAGTCCAGGTCCAGCTCTCTGCAGCAGTGAGGAGGGACTGCCCAAATCTCCGAAGCTCTCCGAATAGTTTCTGAATTGATTTGGAGAACTTCAAATCGATTGGGACCTTTTAAATGGTCTCCTGATTCGATTCAGATTCAGAGATTCAGCTGCCAAATTGGGCCAAATCTCCTCCGAATCAAATCAGCACCTGAAGCTTTGTATAGCCCTAACCTATAGCAAGGCAACACAATCCAAGCACACGCGCTGTACTTAGGACTGTCTTGGGAAAACACTCTGGGTAAAAAAGTAGTCATAGGCACCCATATAGGGTACTGCAACCTTACAGGACTTTCACTGTTAAAGGCAACAGCATCCTAGAACCATTGCACCATAAACCAATAGGGATTTAGCAATCATGTAAGCTACAGTGGGGCCATTTCAACAGTGAGAGTGTAACAGCTGATGCCCTGAAGCTATTAAGTGCATCAGCTTTTTTAATAGAAGGCACAGTATCTTTCCTTCAATTCAACCTACACCCTGTAGTGCCCAATGGAGCAGGACCCTATGGACCAGCTCAGAGCAAGGTTTGACAGCAGTTTAGGCACTGCAGACTGGCTGTGGCCTTTGCTTAAAAGACTGCATCCGGTAAAATTGAAATCTCATATGAAAGCTTCTTAACATAAACCTAAACCCAAACCCAACAAACAGATTTCAGAGTCAGCAAAGCTGCAGTGGGTGACACCTCTGGGTGGAAAGGAACACTATCCTTAAAAATAAGAACTCCCCCTCTATTTTTAATGAGAATCAATAGGTACCTCCAAATCCACTGGCAAGCATAAAAGTGCAATTTGTGGATGAAAAGTACTAGAATTTAAGGTGAAGGGAGGGGGGACCCTCCAGCTCTGTGCAGTTCATAGGTGCTGTTTGTTATGTCAGTTCTGTTACATACACTGGTTTGATTTGTACAAGGTTGTAAGGTAAAATGGAATCTCCTGTACAGCACTCTGGCTGTGTGAGGAAGCCCTGATGAGAATGAAAATACCCGACTGTCAATCTACTCATTTGTTTAGGGGGGTTCTTTTCCGTTTAAATGGGAAAAATGTATTCGGGCTACAACAGCACTGGATGTGCTGTTGCACCCCAAAGGAAAACCTTCCCTTTTGCTTCTGAAATTTCCTGATGGTGTATTCCTGCCTGCTCAGCCTGTAGGATAGGAATTGGAGAGGGGAGAAGATACCAGCCTGGGGTGTCTTCCCTGGAAGCACACATGCAGGAGTACAAACAAAACCTTCCTAAGTACTTGGCCAGTTTAGGAAAGAGATGAGATGATGTGGTTGCTTGTAGTGTGACAGGAGAGTGGTATCAGTGAGCCAAGGAGGATCCCTTCCAGCCTTGTGTTCCTAAACAGGAACAGCATGGGGCTTTATTAAGGGACACCATTACTTTTGCTACTGTGTTCTGTAAACTGTACCTTGCAACTGTGCATTGCTTACATTTAACCATGTGTAAAGCAAATAAACCCCTTAAGGTTTTTATGTCTTCTCCAGACTCCACAAAAGAACAAGCACAGATCGGAGAGCCATTTACAAAATAGTCTAGCA